AACAAACGATATACCAGCGAACTGCAAAACGACGCTCAAAATTGCTAATTAAAAACAATTTTTTTAGTTTAAAATAGTTTAATTTAGTTCACTGAATTTTTTTCAAAGTTTTTTAAATATACATAAATGCGGTACTGCGCATTTTCATCCATATGAATTTTATGACAGAAAATGCAGCCACTTCAACCTTGTATTCTATTATATATACCAAACTTCAATGGACTTTAAAACTGCTTCACATGTGCTTCTTTAAAGCAGAATAAAAATCTTAAAATGTTTATAAAAGCTTGTTAATTTTTTTTATATGTGCATACATGCATATGTATATTGCGCAATTTTTGAATTTTGAACTATATGGTCCTTGTTAAAAAATAAACCCAATTTTTATAAAGATAACTAAAATGAAGTAACAAAAAATAAATTGTTAAAACTTATCAATATGACAGATAGTATATTTATGCAGACGACTGTGAATAATTTCTCTTATTCCGTTTTGAGATCCTGTCTCCAGCATAATGGAAATATCTTTTGGTTATTCCCTCCATTATTTCCACAGATTCGTTGAATTTTTGCTGGAACGCTTCTGAAATAATATTAAAAGTATATTAATCATTTTTGAGAGCTGGGCATCAACAATTAAAGCGTACTTCTAATTGCCGCTGTTGTGATGAGATGCCGCTAATTTTCTCCATTTTGAGTCCCTTCTGTCACCTGAAAAAGATTTGCGTGCCAAATGAACTTTTCTCTCAAAGTTTACACTGCTGGCAAATGTAAATAAGGATTACAATTTAAACACTAATCAATCCGACTAAAGTAAAATCTGCGGAAAATTAACAATAAAATACTTTTTTCGCAAAATCTATAAAGGACCCTTTTATTTCTCAAAACAACCTGGGTAACAGTTGTTCGTCGCCACGCTGTAGAGTAAAAGTACAGTTTTCTACCAAATTAAAAAAACCTTATTCCCACAAATTTCATTTTTTATTAATAAGGCCAATAGAGTGAACTTTACCTTTATAAAAAAACATTTTATATGAAAAATATTATGAATACTGAAAAAAAGATGTAGGTGGCTTAATTTTCTGAGCACAAGTGTACATTGTGGATTCCATATTCTGTCATGATAAAAAATTGTCATAATAAAAACGGTTTACTATCCAAATGAATGACTTTTATTTATGCTTAGATATATTAAAATTTGGGCGTGGAACTTGTCCAACCTAGACCGAAGGTTCCTCAAAAAACTTGTAGGTTCGAAGAAACGGATTCGTTTCGAGTTTACCCAAACGCCTTCATCAGACGGACGTCGCAACGACTTCGATTCGATGAGAAAAAACGACGTCGGAACGACGTTGAATTTTGTATGGAAAAAACGACTTCGTTTCGACATCGTTTCGAGTTCACCCAAACGACCTCACCAGAGCGATGTCGTAACGACATCGTTTCGAGTTCACCAAAATGACTTCGCCAGAGCGACGTCGTAACGACGTCATCTTCGCCCGGTGGCAAATTGGGTTGGTATGGAAATACATATGTATGTATATATGTGAAACTAATACCATACTCATGGACAAAAATGAGAGTTATTGGAAAAGGTGGCGTGGCAACTCCCATGCAAATTGATTTTTCTGTAGGTGTTTGTTGCAGAGGACTGGAACTTGGCACCGAGATGTGTATACAAAATTAATTCCATACTCATGGAGAAAAATTTGCGTTATTCGAAAAGGAGACATAGTACTGCGCCACAGTGGCAACGCATGCATTGCCGCAACGGATGAAATTCGCCCAACTCTCAACTTATGCCGCAAGCAAGTCCGGCAATACTGTCAGCTGTCAAATATGACAATTGATCAAAATTCACTTGGTCTCGCGCACTTTTTATTACATTCCCGCGGCTTTTTTATAAATTTATAAATCTAATTGTTTATACGATGGAATTTTTACTTATAGAGGCAGTGCAAATGCACCCGTGTTTGTTCGACAAAGGGGACTTTTCATATCGAAGTAAGCTGGCAAAAGAGAAGGCCTGGAAAAGCGTAGCGGCTGCCACAAATGCGAATGGTAAGTTAAATGTTAATAATATTGTTATTTATGGCAATAAGATGCTAGTGTTTTCTTATAAACATTCTCAATTGTAGTTCAGCTGTGCCAGAATAGGTGGAGGTCCCTTCGCGACCGATATCTTAAGGAGGTGAAAGCTGGGAAGCTGCCATCGGGAAGTGCTGCAGCAGAAGGAAGTGGTTGGAGGTTTTTTGAGCCCATGTCGTTCCTGCAGCGCTACGTTGCCCCTCGCAGGTTAGTTCAACATTGTTATCCTAAATAAAGCATCAGCGTCTCACTTTTAAAAGAGGATTCCATAGCCGGTGCGAGATAAGCTGTACACAACCTTGTAATCCTAAATGTAAAAGTACAAAGCGCCCGTATTGGCCAATATGCACAACTATGTACAAATAACTAAACCTTACCCCACTAATTAAGTACATATATCCATATTTTAGAACTATTTCCAACATCGAGTGGTTAAGCGAAGACCCTATCTATAGTGAATCCGGACAATGTTTCGATGTAGAATCAGATGGCAACATGTCATTCATGAATGATCCCAGCGAGATCGTAACACCTAACGAAGTTTGGGATTGTATCGAGTGCGAGGCAGCCCCGCCGACAGCCCCGCCGGCAGTACCGCCGGCAGCACCACCAACAACACCTCTGACAGCACCACCGACAGCAAGTAAAACTTCGAAACGTACTGAAAAGCGCCAAAAGGACGAAGATCGCTTTGACGGTCTTTGTGGGGCTGTATCCGATTGGATACAGAAAGAATCGAAACCCATCTCACGAAATACGGGCTTTTTTAAAGTTTTAGATGGTTATTTAATGAAGTATACAGATGACGAGCAGGGTGAAATAAAAATAAAATTATTAAGCTTTGTAAGTAGCTACCGGTATGAGAACACCGTCTAGTGCACTATTGTTAACGTTTTTTAAAACAAAGTTTTTGATGAAATTTTGCAAACTGTGCACCTATAAATGAGAAAGTGGTTATTAGCTGTTGTGATCAAAAAACGTTTGTAATGTAAAAATCAAGTGGTTATGAATAACTAAGTTTTGTGTAGCTTTTTGGCTTTGATTTTGACTATGCAAAAGCCTTTGGACCTTATGAATAAAAACTAAGCAATTGCTTCTTAAAATTTCAGACCGCTTACTCGATGTATTCAAATAAATTTAAGTAAACGGTCTGAAATTTTAAGAAGAAGCAATTGCTTAATTTTTAATCATAAGGCCCATTATCATATCGTCGGCTGGGTAAAAGATTGTCGTAAACGTCATACGTACGTGCGTAACATACGACAATCTTTTACCCAGGCGACGATATGATCTTTA